CCTAGTCTTTCTCCTGCAGAGTGTTTAGTGGGCTTGAACCATCAGCCTTGTTATAACAAAAATAGCCAAAGCTTATCATATAGAGCCACTACAGCCCGAGAAAAGCAATAAGAACAAAGAAAGTCAGGTATAAAATTAGCATCACATTTAAACAAAATAAAATATTTCATTTTTAATAATAATGATCTTAACATTTAAAAAATAAGCACAAGATATAAATTTACAAGGAGTCTTCAAAAAGTTCATGGAAACTGTGTATTGTGAAAAATGCAATTTATGGATTTGAAAAAATGTTTGCACCAAATATAGTTTGGGGCACTAATAAGACTAAGACATCAGTTTGAAAAGCAACACAAATTCTACTAAAATTAAATCAAGATCAAACATCAAATTTAACCTGACGCTTAGGTAGAAAAATGATGACATTACTGAGACTTTACAAAAGTTTATGGGATAATGCGCCAAAGACATTAGGAGTTAACAAATGGATAATTTGTTTTAAGAAAGGATGAGAAGATATTGAAGATGAAGCCCACGGTGGCAGATCATCTACATCAATTTATGAAAAAAAAATCTTGTTCATATCCTAATTGAAGAGGACCTATGACTATCTGCAGAATAATATTCAACACCATATACTTCTCAGTTGGTTCCGTTTACACAATTCTGACAGAAAAATTAAAGTTGAGCAAGCTTTCCACTTGATTGGTGCCAAAACTGTTGTGCCCAAGTCAACTGCAGACAAGGGCAGAGCTTTCAATGGGAATTTTAAACAAGTGAGATGTAGACTCTGAGTCATTTTGTTAAAGAATTGGAATGGTAGATGGAACATTGCTTTATCAGTATGCTCCTGAAGACAGAGTACAATAAAAAGCAATGGTTACAAACAAGTGGCATTGATCTAGTCAATTAAAAAGTGAACTGGTCAAGAGTAAAGGTCATAACAAGTTTTTTGGAATGCACAAGGCCTTTTCCACCATTTGTCTGTCAGTTTGTTGTACTGTGATGACTTGCATGTTGCTGTGATGCTGAAAAAATATGTCACCAGTATTTAAAATATGAGCAGGGTAACTCACAATGGACAGGTTTCAGCAGAGCTTCTGGAATAATTCAGATTGGGAAGAAGGAATAAGTGGTCCAATTCTGAGGGATTAGCCACTGAAAACTTTTCAGTAGCAGAACTTTTTTTCATATGTTGTTGTTGTTCTTCTTAAGTGCTGCCAAGTCAGTTCTGACTCACAGTGATCCCCATATAGGCTTTCCAAGGAGTGACTGGTGAGTTTGAACTGCCAACCTTGTGGTTCAAACTTACTTTGCAGTCCAGTGCATAAATCCACAGCACCACACCAGGACTCTGTTTTTTGATATATACCTGAAAACTACTTCCTCAGATTGGAAGTCACTGAAATACAACTGGAGAGAAGAATTGTCTCCTCAAATTAGAGTTGACCTTAATGAGTGGGGCAAAGCTTTCAGGACCTTCATTTGTTGATGTGGCACAGCTTAAAATAAGAGGAAACAGCTACAAACATCCATTAATGGTTGGGACATGGATTGTATGAAGTATGAAACTAGAAAAATTGGAAGTGGACAAAAATGAAAAGAACACAGAAAGATCACTATTCTAAGCATTAGTGAGCTTAGAAATGGACATATATTGGCTATGCTGAATAAAATAATCATATGGTTTACTATGCCAGAAATGACAAATTGAAGAGGAATAGATTTGCATTATTAAAACGAACGTGTCAAAATGTATTCTGAAATACAATACTGTCTGTGATAGGATAATATATATATATATATATACACCTACAAGGAAAACCAGTTAATATGATTATTATTCAAATTTATGCACCAACCACTAAAACCAATGATGAAGAAATTGATTAAATATGCAATCAAGATGTATTGATGATTACTGGTGAAAGGTGAAAACATAGAGGAAGGATTGGTAGCTGGAAAATATGGCCTTGGTAATAAAAACAATGCTGGGGATCACAAAACAAAGTTTTGCAAGACCAACAACTTATTCATTACAAAGACCTTTTTTAACAACATAAATGTGTATACACAGACTTCATTAGTTGGAATATACAGAAATAAAAGTGATTACATATGTGAAAAGATACAATGGAAAAGCTCAATATCATCATCCAAAACAAGACATGGGCCAACTGTGAAAGAGACCATCAATTGCTCATTGTGACCTCTATAAGGTTTCTGAGAATAGGCTGATGAGTTTGAACCTCTCACCTTGTGGGTCAAACTGACCTTTCGGTCCAGTGCTTATCCTATAGCACCACACTAGGACTCCAAAACTGTGTATATCCCACCTGAATTTAGAGATAATCGCAAGAACAGATTTGACATATTAAATACTAATTGCAGAAGACCAGATGAGATGCATGATGACATCAAGAACATCATAATTGAAGAAGGCAAAAGGTCATTAAAAATTTAGGAAAAAAAAGAAAAAGCTGAAGTGGATGTCAGAAGAGACTGAAATTGCTCTTGAATGTAGGGTACCTAAAGTGAATAGAAAAAATGATGAACCAAAACAGCTGAATAGAAAAATTTAAAGAGCTGCTCAAGAAAACTAAGTAAAGTATTATAATGAAACATACAAATAACTGAAGCTAGAAAACCAAAAGGGAAGAAAATGCTTAGCATTTCTCAAGCAGAAGAAACTGAAGAAAAAAATGTATGCATCAACTTGCAATACTGCAGGATTTTATGGGTAAAAAATTGGATGATGAAGGAAGTATCTAAAGAAGATGGAAGGAATCCATAGTTGCTGTACCAAAATTATTAGTCGATATTCACCCATTTCAAAATGTGTTATAATAACAAGAACTGATTATATTGAAGGAATTGTCTAAACTCCACTGAAGTCATTGACAAAATACAAGGCTCCAGGAATTGACAGAATACCAATTGAAATAATTTCATCAAATTAATGTAGTGCTGGAAGTATTCACTCTTCTATGTTAAAAATTTTAAAGAGAGCTATCTGGCCAACCTACTAGAAGACATCCATATTGTGCCTATTTCAAAGAAAAGTGACTCAACAGAGGGAGGAAATTATCTAATAATATCATTATTATCTCATACAAATCAAATTTTGCTGGAGATGATTCAAAATGGTGGGAACTGGGAGAAATTTAAGACAAAATCACAAGAAGACATGGAATAAGAAATAGGAATCTTGGCTGAAAGTAGAAAATAGCAGAGAGTAGTTCACTTGTGTTTTATTGACAGTGCAAAAGTGTTCAACTGTGTGGACCACAACAAAATATGTATAACATTTCAAAGAATGGGAACATTAACTGTGCTCATGAGGAACCTTTACATAGACCAAGAGGCATTTTTTTAGGCAGTACAAGGGAACACTGAATGGTTTAAAATCAGACAAGGTGTGGGTCGTACTTGGATCCTTTCATCATACTTATTCAATCTGTATGCTGAGTCATTAATTCAAGAAACTGGATTATATGAAGAATGTGGTATCAGGATTGGAGGAAGGATCATTAACAACTGGTTATATGCAGATGACACAACCTTGTTTGCTGAAAGTGAAGAGAACATGAAGTACTTATTGATGAAGATCAGAGACTATAGCCTTTAGTATGGCTTATAGCTCACTATAGAGAATCATTACAACTGGACCCATAAACAATTTATGCTAAATGGAAAAAATATTGATGTTTATTCAGTATCTCCTTCAGGTGTACATAGGGTAGCAATGATTTGGATCCGACTAACACTAACAACAAGGCATTTTTCTTGTTGTCTTTCTGTGGGGTCAAAGAACAATGATACCTGTTTATTAGGAAAATATTTTGAGAAAGTTAGCCAAAGCTTTGGCAGAAAATGCCTGGGAATACTTCACCAGAGAGTCCTTTCTACCATACCAATGCTCCTACACATTCCTTTCATCAAACAAAGACAATTCCCTCTTTGAGTCCTTCTGACTTCTTTTTGTTTTCTAATCTTAAAAAAACGTTTAAAGGGCACCCATTTTTTTTTTTTCAGTTAATGATGTAAAAAAGACTGTATTGACAAGAGTTAATTCCCAGAACTCTCAGTTCTTTATGTATGGAATAAGTGCCGGATATTGTTACTTATGGAGTCCTGATGTGATGCTATAGGATAAGAATGGGACTGCAAACCATTAAGACAGGCAATTCAAACCCACCAACCTATCTTGAAAACCCTACACAGAATCCCTATGAGTTGGTACCAACTCTGCAACACTTAATAACACCAACATTATCACTTATAAAAATGTCTTGAACTTGATGGAGCTTATTTATTTATTTATCTTTTAATGCTATTTTTGTATGAACTTTTCAAAGTCCCCTGGTACACGTATCTTTATGTAATTGATATATTTTCTTTTTGGGTCCCAAGCTTCAAAATTGTATCTATTTAATGTCAAATTCTGGAATCTTCAGAGCAATGTGAAACATAACCCTCAAAGGAGTTGATAATAACTTTGTGTGGCACAAACATCACAACATCAGTGGCTTAGTGTTCCACTGCCATTGTAATATATTAGATCATAATCTATAAAGAAATAAAGTTTGTGAGTAAAATGTTAGGAAGCCAGGCTTCTTACCTAAACCAAAACCACATCTCTGTGGTGCATCTCATTAATCTTTTTTTAAAATAGGAGAAATACAGAGCCATGGGTATAATACATGTAATTATTCTTTATCTCAATAAATTTTATTCATCTGGAGATGATACAATTACACCATTTGGGGTTACAAAGTGAAGACAATCTTCCATTATAATCTATGAATGATATAATATTGGTAAGCCTTCAGAATACTTCCTCTATCAGATTAAACAATAGTTCTTAGATTAGAAACATGGACACTGAACATACAATTGACAACATGAAAACAAAACATACAGACCAATTTTAATAACTGACTAGTGTATTAAAGTTAGAGATGTGGCAATCTCCTTGAACAGATGTGTGTGAACTCCATTTAATTCCCAGAGACACTGAATATCTTTTGAGAGCAGAGGATTTTCTTGATGGCATCTTTCATGTCTTTATTTCTCAGACTATAGATTATGGGGTTGAAAAACGGTGCAAGGACAGCAAACATCAGTGCAATGGCCTTGTCCAATAACGGTGGGAAAGTGACAGAGAAATGCAAATACATGAGGCCTACACTGCCAAAAAACAGCAAGAAAATAGTAATGTGAGCCGCACAAGTGGAGAATGCCTTTTGACGGCTCTCACCTGAGGGAATCTTTAGGATCACAGTAATGATCCTTAAATAAGAAAGTGTGATGATGGAGACCGAGGTCAGAATGGAAATAGCATGGATCACATCCTCAATTAGAATCATGGATGTATCCGTACATGCCAAGTGCAGCACAGGTTCAAAGTCACAGAAGAGTTGATGGATTTGGTTGGGGCCACAGAAGGGCAGGGTGGAAATCCACACAATCTCTGGAAGTAACATAAGGAAGCCAAAGATGCAAGAGCCAACAGAGAGCTGGATGCACAGCTGTGGGGTCATAATGACTGCATAACGCAGGGGCTTGCAGATGGCAATATACCTGTCAATGGCCATCACTGTCAGGACCAGAGCTTCTGTGACCCCAAGTGAGTGGAAGAAGTACATCTGTAGAAGGCAGCCAAGGAAGGAGATGGTCTTCTGCTCACCCACTAGGTTGGAGAGCATCTTGGGGATGGTCACTGTGGTATACCAAATCTCCAGGAAGGAGAAGACACTGATGAAATTGTACATGGGATTGTGGAGACGTGTATCTAGCCGAACAGCAAAGAAGATCATAAAATTTCCAACGATGATAAACAAATAAATAAAGAGCAAAGGTATGAAGAATAAAAGACCACCATGCTCAAATTGGGGGAAATCAGAGAAGTAAAACACAGTCACGACCGTTAGATTTTCCTGATCCATATTTTCAGATGTCTCACTTGTTTTCTTAGAATCAAATACAATTCTAAGTACATTCAAAGAAGAAATAGAAACTTCCTTTCAAAGTAGCTCAACAGTCCTGAAATGAGATTGATTAAATAAAGCATACTAAAATATACTGCATGAATTATTTTGCAAACTATGAAGTGATACAATCAAACCTGTGAACAGTTTTAGCAATAATAATATCATATATTGTCAACTCTTCTGTTAGATAAGCAAACAAATTTGTTCTTCAGATATATAATTTGATAAAACTTTTCTGAATGGCAATTTTTTTTTTATGTTTTATTGTGAGTTACATGATAGTTTACATGAGAGAACCTCAGTTCCACATTCATTCCATCGTATATCACTACATCGCCATGGCTCCAATCCCCTCCATGCATCGTCTTCTGACCAAAGGCAATTTGGTAATTTTTATTGATAACCTCTTTAGTATTGTTTACTATACACCCAAGAGAATTATTTCAAGTATAAAATTGTATACAAAGATATTCTTTGGAATATATAATAGCAAGTTTAAAACAACTTAGGTAAGAATACATTATTTGTTTTTCAATATGAAATACTGGGGACAGAAAATGAAAAGTAACAAAAGGATCCTCTCAATGAAAAAGACCATTTTAATTTAGGTGTTATAAAAAACAAGATGACCCAGAAATCCTTCACTTGGTGTATGTCCTAGAGAAATAAGAGCCACAACACAAAACCATGTCCACCACAGTACTAATCACAATAGCAAAAAGAAATAAACAACCTAAAGGTCTATCAATGGAAGAATGTATAAACAAACTAAAGTACATATACATAGAATGGAACACTACGTAATATAAAAGAATAATGATGAATCTGTGAAATATCTCATAACATGGATGAACCTAGAGGACATTGTGCTGAGTGAAATAAGTCAATTACAAAATAACAAATATTGTATGAGATCATTATTGAAAGAAGTCAAGAAAGGTTTGCACATGAAAATAAAGATTATTTCATGGTCCTGGTGTAGCACTGTAGGATAAATCTTGAACTGCTAACTAAGCCACTCCTTAGAAAACCTATACAGGGTTGCTAAGAGTCAGAACTGACTCAACAGCAAATAACAACAACAACAAGTAGGAAACAACTAGATGAAATGGGAAAGGAGGGTAGATAACTGTACAGATTACTGGCTAGAGGATTGTGGTGATGGTTATGTGCCGTGGAGTTGGTTCCAACTCACAGCGACCCTGTACAGGGTTTCCAAGGCTGTAAATCCTTACAGGAGCAGAAAGCCTCATCTTTCTTCTGTGGAACGGATGGTAGTTTTGAACTGCTGACCTTGAGGTTTGCAGCCTGATTCATAACCACTACTCTACCAGCGATCCTTGGCTAGAGGATAGTCACATGATAATTTGGGTGAAGGGGAAAGAAATATACAATAAGGAGGAGATCAGCAAAAAAATGAAAGACGCAGGGAATACATGCAGAGAAGTGCAAGAGTTAAAGGTAAAAGAGGTAAATACTGTTATATATACAATCTAGCAATAACAATGATCTACCAATTAATGATGGTTCAAACCCACCAGATACTCCTTTGGAACCCCTATACAGGGTCAGTCTGAGTTGGAACCAACTCCATGGTACTTAACAACAACAGCAAAAACCAACTGATGCATGGAAAGACATGCAGGCTGAACAGGTGTGGGAGGAAGAACAGGACTACACTCATGAATACATTTATGTTTGACAGAGGTTATTTACATATGTGCATTTATCATGGCTGCAAATATATCCATTAATGTGGTGGAGCATATGGTGGGAAAAGTTATGAAAACTTCTTAGACATAATAAAATACTTTAAGGGAATGAGTAACTGGACCTGAGGGCTCAGGACTATGGTCTTGGGGGACAGCAGGGTCAATTGGCATGACATAGACCACAAAGACAAAGTTCTATATCCTACTTTGGTGAGTAGTGACTGGGGTCTTAAAAGCTCATAAATGGCCATCTACAGTGCAACCACTGGTCTCTCTCTGTTTGGAGAAAAGAAGAGTGATAAAAATGAAAGAGACATGGAAGCAATTAATCCAATGGAGTAATGGGCCACATGAACATCAGTCTCCATGACCCTTAAAAGCCAGAAGAGCTAGATGGTGCTCAGCTACCATTACCAACTGCTCTGAAAGGGATCACATTAGAAGGTGCTGAACAGAGAGGGATAAAATATGGAGCAAAACTCAAAATCACAAAAAAGGATCATGCTTATTGGTTGGATAGCAGTTAGTGGAACCCTCAAGACTTAGTCCTAAGTTTTGCACCAAGTATCGAAATGAAATCACCCCATGGCTCAATTTTCAACCAAATAATTGACAGGGGAACAATAACACTAGGGATATCCACACACCTTTGAATAATCAACCACTTAAAAACAATAGTGTAGCATTTGCCCAAGGACAAAGTTAGAAGGATTAGGAAGGAAGGAGGAATGAAAACAGAAAACATGGAAAGAAGGTGAGTTAAGTGATGCTACATTGTAGGTATTGCAATGAATGACATTGAAACAAAATGTGTATGAACTGCTGAATGAAATACTGATGTGCTCTGTAAACCTTCACCCAAGTCACAATAAAAAGTTAAAATAAAACAGAACAACATCAACAAAAATACAGGCACTAGCTTTCCTTGGTCTTTTTCATAATTATTCCAGCTTTGGAAAAACATAAGAAGAAATATCAAAGATTGTACTGAGTGTAACTTACTTTAAACCCCAATATCATTGATCCTTGTGAAATGCATATATATTACTGTCCACTACACATTCTGTGAATTAGGACATGATGTGATTTGGATATTGTGAAAACACCATAATACCCTTATAGGAGTCTTTCTTGCCATTACAGCCACTGCTGCTGTTGAAGCTGCTGGTAGAGATTGCAGGAACTCTTAGATGGTAGTTAAAAAGAGTGACAAAGGGAATAGAGATAGAGGAAGCAAGCAAGAAGGGCACAGAGTGTGTCACCATCCATTGTTCCCAGGCCCCACAGCTTCCACTGCTGTTTCTCATCTACCTACCAGACACAGTCCAAGTGTCCATGCCCAGAATCATGTCATCTGCCTGTATTACATTCATGGCCCGATGCTGCAAGTGTTTGAGTTTGGGGTCTGTAAAACCATTGGGGAAAATAATAAACAAAAGAAAGACTTCCCCTTTAAAAACCAACACACCTTATGGAATCATGGATGTATATACTGTCAAATGTTGCCTGAAAGAAGATAGAAGATAAGCAAATTATACCTGAATGTGTAAGCATTACTATATTAGTGTTAAGTGTTAACCAACAGCTGTAGGATAGGCATTCAACCACAAGATCAGTTTGAACCACAAAGTCAGCAGTTTAAACTCACCAGTTGCTTCTCAAAAATCCTATGCAGGGTCACTATGAGTCAGAACCAACTTGATGGCACTTAACAACAATATATATATATATATATATGTATATATTCATTTTTAGTCTGTTCCCTAAAGGTGATTAATTAATAGTTGACATACTCTAAGAGTAGTTTGTTAACAAAGAGTTTAAGTAGAAGTCCACATCCAGAGTCAGGTTTGGCAAGAGTTTCAAATATCCATATCTAAATCCACATCATAGGTGTTGCTGGATGTCAACATATGATTAATCACTGACCTGCTAGCCAAAAGAGTGTCAGTCCAAGCACACGTCATTAGAAAAGCTTGGCAATCTACTTCAGAAGAATTTGACAACAATATGGAGTGCATTTCCATTCTAACACACACCTTAGGGCTTCTTTAAGTAGTATGTTGTTGTTGTTAAGTGCCCTTGAGTCGGTTTGAACTCATAGCTACCCTGTGTAGGATTTCTGAGGAGTAGCTAATGGGTTTGAACTGCTGACCTTAGAACAGAGTTTCTCCACTTCAGGATCATTAACATTTTATTTGAGAAATAAAATCCATAACTGGATTTTATTTGAGAAGATGAGGCTGCCCTGTGCACTGTAGGATGTTCAGCAGTGTTCCTGACCTCTACCCTGATAAATGTCAGTACCACTTTCCCTCTTCCTCAGTCATGACAACTATTGATACCATCCTGTTTGGAGGAAAAAAGAACAATAAAAATCAAAGAGACAAGGAAATAAGTAGGCCAAATAAATTCCAAATGTTCTCTGAAGGTGAAAAGCAAAATCCTCCTTAGTTGAGAATCACTGGAATAGAGAATATTAGAAATAATTCTGTATTCGTGAAAAACAAGGTGATCAAAATATGTGACTTGACTAGAAATATACCTATTCTTTGCTTGAAGTGATAATGAGAATAAGATGTGTCAAGATGTCTATAAAGTTTGGATGCAGTAGACCCAGGATCTATTCATTTCTGTGTTCCTCTGTAATGGAGGATCCAGGATCTATTCATTTCTGTGTTCCTCTGTAATGGAGGATCCAGGATCTATTCATTTCTGTGTTCCTCTGTAATGGAGGATTCAGCAGCTAATCTCACCAGAAGGTTAGCTTTTCTACAGGTAATAAGTTTGTCAGTTTTTGCTTTTTAGGTAATTTTTCATTCATTCTACTAATAAGAGAGTATATAGATGATGGAGAGATAGAACTTCAATGAGCATACCAGAAAAGGTTTAATAATGTTTTTTGTGCCTGCTTGCTAATAAATATTTGTATGCATGTCAGTATTCTGAGACTTATTTTCACTGTATTAAACTACCAGAAAGATAGTATTGGATATAACATGTCAAAAGGCAGGAAGCTACTGACATCTACCAAAGTGTTACACTGTGGTGAAAAACAAATGTATCAAGTAGATAGATAAAATTATTTTTAAAGAAAGTCAGATTGGCATATGACCAATTTAAAAAAAAAATTTTTTTTACTTGGTTTTGGTCTTTTTAAAAATAGATAAAACTACATATTTAATCTATGTTGAAATAAGAAAAAAATGCAGCAAAATTTCCCTTTTGTTTTCTTTAAGAAAACTTCTT